GATCCTTTCAGACGCCGATTGTCTAATGTAATGATCCCCAATCTATTTCCCTATCATATCTACTTTTCAAATTATGAATCGAGTTCGCTTCTACTCCCGGCCGTTTAATCCATTTTCTACTACTTTTATGTTTCATAGGCTTCCTAGATTTTCTAATTTTGACAAAAGATCATTCGGCTGTAGATTATTTCAACGTGTGTAGGGGTGTAAAAATAGCTGCAGCACATTTACTAGGATTGAACGTGATTGTATTCGGAGTATGGGTTCATGGAACTAGATTATCAGGATAGCAAAAACTTGTCTTGTGGAGACATTTGTCACAGAGAGCTCCGCTGGATCTTGAATTTCAAAAATAGTTCATGATAGACAACAAGTAATAAAGGACTCGAAGCATTTCCAGTGTAAAGAATTCATACCATCCCTTACCATTGTTCAAGTTTATTTCAATCTAAACTCTGGGACGGATTTTGGAAGGTTTTTGTGTGAGATACATGAATGATTGTTGAAATTTGACAAGTCTTTCAATGTTTCGTTGCGAACAATATTTTATTGTTTGACCAATAAGGCTTTGAAGTATTACATATATTCATATAACAATCCTTTAATGGAGAAACTTAGTACAATACCGCAGTGTGTGAATGAAGGTGAAGGAAAGACCAAATACATATATATGTATACATATAATACATATTAGTATATTTTGGTAGCAGTCTTTCCTGTAGACATATATTAGACGAGAAAATTAGTGTTAGAATTATTAATCTTACTTTTTCGGTCATATTTAATAATATATATAATACATATATATATATATTTATCCTTATTTTTTTTGTTCTCTACACATTTTATTCTTTATACTCAATTAGTATTAAGCTTTAGTCATTTAAGTTTTTCCTGCCCGAAACGCTTTGCATAATAGTCGCTTTAGGCATTGTATGTACTAGCCCTATCTATAAATCAATCATTCTTTGTAAAATCCCTTGTATGTATGTACCTTACCTAAATAAACATTTATTTTTTTTTTTTATTTATATACGTATTGGGTATACATGTTCGTTTATTATTAAATAATTTTTCGGATGAAACCTGTACCCTTTATCAAGGTGCTGTTGTACGATGTATTTGGTCTCTTCACCTTCACTCCATTAATATCAAGTGATGTATGGAAAAAAAATATGAAAACCGTAAATGATGATTCATTGATGTTATCAGAACGTGATGACAGAAAATGTTTTAACAAAATATTTTATAGCAACATTATTCAAAAGAATTTTTTTAACCCTGAGCCTTAGGCTATTATTATTATTATTATAATCTGTTAGTTGAATTATACTGTTAATCGCACAGTAGATCTAGTTAGAAAGTAATCAAATAAACTATTTTTTTTAAGCCAGAGAGCTTATTAATATAATTACGAATATATATTTTTTTAATTATATTAAAGTCCTGATCCCTCTAGACTTATGCGACAGTTCAATAAATCTGTAATGTTTCTAGGAGCTTATCCGGGTAAACCTGACGCTGGATTTACTCACTAATGCATCTGTATTACAAAATATTTTTTTTAGACTAGGGTAAGCCGGCTTATATGTGCTAGTTTTTTATAGTGTAGGTTTTACTTCATTGATAATAAGAGACTAAGCCGGCAGCCCAGCCCAGCCTCGCTTAACCCTCACCTCAATGTATTAAAATACAGTAATGAATTAACGTTCGTGTTCATAGTTTTGTCTCAATAAAACGTACATAAATAAGAATGATATATACTCATTTCATTAGATACAGGGGGGAGTTGTGTAAAACCCTGGTTTGTGCCTCGGAGAGGCTACGGGATCCAGGAACTTCGGTTTCAACTCTTGCCCTGTCGTAGCTCAGTCGATTAAGGCAGTGTCTGGGATGCTCCCGGACGCAGGTTCGAATCCTCGTCACGGCCCTTGTGGACTTGTTCATGATATATACTATTTACACAAATAGCTATCTTAATGGTTTCCTTCTCTACTCTCTTCACCTCAATTATAACAGCCTGGGTGAACAGGTGTTGAAGAGGGTCCTATAAAAGCCATCGTGCAGGGAGAGGGATGTTGTGTCTGGGTTTTCCATACACTAAGTGGACAACATAGCATGCAGTTGTAGGTAAAGTTTGGTCCATAACAGACAGAAACTTCGTCTTCTCGATCTATACTTGGTTTGTGGTTTGAGATTCCTTGCCTGCGGACGGCGAGGCTTGACATTCCTTGCCTGCGGACGGCGAGGCTTGACATTCCTTGCCTGCGGACGGCGAGGCTTGACATTCCTTGCCTGCGGACGGCGAGGCTTGACATTCCTTGCCTGCGGACGGCGAGGCTTGACCTTGCCTGCGGACGGCGAGGCTTGTGATTCCTTGCCTGCGGACGGCGAGGCTTGACATTCCTTGCCTGCGGACGGCGAGGCTTGAGATTCCTTGCCTGCGGACGGCGAGGCTTGAGATTCCTTGCCTGCGGACGGCGAGGCTTGTGATTCCTTGCCTGCGGACGGCGAGGCTTGTGATTCCTTGCCTGCGGACGGCGAGGCTTGAGATTCCTTGCCTGCGGACGGCGAGGCTTGAGATTCCTTGCCTGCGGACGGCGAGGTGTATGATTCCTTGCCTGCGGACGGCGAGGCTTGTGATTCCTTGCCTGCGGACGGCGAGGCTTGACATTCCTTGCCTGCGGGCGGCGAGGCTTGACATTCCTTGCCTGCGGACGGCGAGGCTTGACATTCCTTCCCTGCGGACGGCGAGGCTATACAATACTTCCTTCTACTATAATATAATATAGCTAGGCGCGTATTAACCACTTAATTATTAAAACTATTATTTTTAATAGCATTAAATTCAGTATATAATCAAATTGTAATTGCTGTGAGACTAATTATCCTGATGTATATTGTAGCGATATATTAGGTGATGAGAAGATTATATTAATCAGCACGATGGAATACGCCTTCATAAGTGAAGTGTTGATTTCCTTAAAATGTTTGAAAGTTTTAAGTGTTCTTCCTGATTTGAGGCTTAATGTATTAATTAGAAGTCGCTGAACAAAAAAAAAGTAATAACGTTTACTTTAGCAATGTCAATTTGTATGTTCAGAAGAAGCATTGAATGATACCCTATTAGAGAAAAGTAAAGTTTTAAGAGATGCATCACTGTATTGGTAGCATAAATGTATCAGGTTTTGACTGTAAACAATGAAGAGGAATTGTTGGGCTGATTCAAGACTAAATCCCGCCAAACACACACCGAAACTACGACGTTGGTACAACGTTCGAACAAGTTTTAACACCTAACCAGTTATAACAACCAATATAGCAAGTTGTAACAACGTTCTAATACGTCATAAACACATTAAGCGAAGATGTAACAACTTTATTACAAGTTGTAACAAGCGGAAAATAGAGACAGTTTCGGTTTGTATTTCCAAGGTTAATACACTCCGCCAAGAGTGAAAACATCCGTAAATAAGTAATGAAAAACTATTCAACAGTGAATAGCAACATTTAGGGGTTATAATTTGGCCAAAGATGAATGCAAGTAAGAAACTTTAATTGGCAGAAAACTCGAAAGTATTATGCAAATTACTTAAAATTAGAGGGAGTGTAAGGCAGGTAAAACATTTTGAACACAATCACAGTGAGAGAACTATCTGCATCAGTCAGCTCTAACGAATTTATTAAATACCAAATAAGCAAGAAGAGAGCGAAGGTTGGTAGATAACAATGGTGAGGTGACGCTCGCTGGTATACCTTCCTTACTTTACATGTGTGTGTGTGTGTGTGTGTGTGTGTGTGTGTGTGTGTGTGTGTGTGTGTGTGTGTGTGTGTGTGTGTGTGTGTGTGTGTGTGTGTGTGTGTGTGTGTGTGTGTGTGTGTGTGTGTGTGTGTGTGTGTGTGTGTGTGTGTGTGTGTGTGTGTGTGTGTGTGTGTGTGTGTGTGTGTGTGTGTGTGTGTGTGTGTGTGTGTGTGTGTGTGTGTGTGTGTGTGTGTGTGTGTGTGTGTGTGTGTGTGTGTGTGTGTGTGTGTGTGTGTGTGTGTGTGTGTGTGTGTGTGTGTGTGTGTGTGTGTGTGTGTGTGTGTGTGTGTGTGTGTGTGTGTGTGTGTGGGTGTGTGTGTGTGTGTGTGTGTGTGTGTGTGTGTGTGTGTGTGTGTGTGTGTGTGTGTGTGTGTGTGTGTGTGTGTGTGTGTGTGTGTGTGTGTGTGTGTGTGTGTGTGTGTGTGTGTGTGTGTGTGTGTGTGTGTGTGTGTGTGTGTGTGTGTGTGTGTGTGTGTGTGTGTGTGTGTGTGTGTGTGTGTGTGTGTGTGTGTGTGTGTGTGTGTGTGTGTGTGTGTGTGTGTGTGTGGTGTGTGTGTGTGTGTGTGTGTGTGTGTGTGTGTGTGTGTGTGTGTGTGTGTGTGTGTGTGTGTGTGTGTGTGTGTGTGTGTGTGTGTGTGTGGGTGTGTGTGTGTGTGTGTGTGTGTGTGTGTGTGTGTGTGTGTGTGTGTGTGTGTGTGTGTGTGTGGGTGTGTGTGTGTGTGTGTGTGTGTGTGTGTGTGTGTGTGTGTGTGTGTGTCGTACTGTCGTCATGTCGTATTACTTGCTCACAAAATGTGAGCAAGTAGTACGACATGACGACAGTACGTGGTCGTACTAATGCATAGTGGTCACTATGCATTAGTACGCCACTAATGACACCATTAGTACGCCATGGGGACCACTAATGCATAGCGGTCCCCATGACGCACCGTGGTCCCATGACGCACCGTGGTCCCATGACGCACCGTGGTCCCATGACGCACCGTGGTCCCATGACGCACCGTGGTCCCATGACGCACCGTGGTCCCATGACGCACCGTGGTTCCATGACGCACTGTGGTCCCATGACGCACCGTGGTCCCATGACGCACCGTGGTTCCATGACGCACTGTGGTCCCATGACGCACCGTGGTCCCATGACGCACTGTGGTCCCATGACGCACCGTGGTCCCATGACGCACCGTGGTTCCATGGTCCCATGACGCACCGTGGTCCCATGACGCACCGTGGTCCCATGACGCACCGTGGTCCCATGACGCACCGTGGTCCCATGACGCACCGTGGTCCCATGACGCACCGTGGTCCCATGACGCACTGTGGTCCCATGACGCACCGTGGTCCCATGACGCACCGTGGTCCCATGACGCACTGTGGTCCCATGACGCACTGTGGTCCCATGACGCACCGTGGTCCCATGACGCACCGTGGTCCCATGACGCACCGTGGTTCCATGACGCACCGTGGTCCCATGACGCACCGTGGTCCCATGACGCACTGTGGTCCCATGACGCACCGTGGTCCCATGACGCACCGTGGTCCCATGACGCACCGTGGTCCCATGACGCACCGTGGTCCCATGACGCACCGTGGTCCCATGACGCACCGTGGTTCCATGACGCACCGTGGTCCCATGACGCACCGTGGTCCCATGACGCACCGTGGTCCCATGACGCACTGTGGTCCCATGACGCACCGTGGTCCCATGACGCACCGTGGTCCCATGACGCACCGTGGTCCCATGACGCACCGTGGTCCCATGACGCACCGTGGTCCCATGACGCACCCCATGACGCACTGTGGTCCCATGACGCACTGTGGTCCCATGACGCACCGTGGTCCCATGACGCACCGTGGTCCCATGACGCACCGTGGTCCCATGACGCACTGTGGTCCCATGACGCACCGTGGTCCCATGACGCACTGTGGTCCCATGACGCACCGTGGTCCCATGACGCACCGTGGTCCCATGACGCACCGTGGTCCCATGACGCACCATAGTAGAAAAAGCGCCTCGTGGTCCCAAAAGGTCTTTCCAGAAGCCAGATTCACGAAGCAGTTACGCAAGCACTTACGAACAGTCCTGGAAGAGGCTACACTAAACATTAACCAAATATACACAAGTTTATAAATATTTACAACTATTGAATATAAACAAATCCTGGGTTAAGTCATAATTCTTACCCTAAACGACAAATAGCATTTCCTTCAGTGAATCTGTATAACAAATTACAAAGTCAGGAAAGTACGAAACAGCTGGTAACTACCGAACGGTTCGCCAGTATTTAAGGGACGGGAAATGCGTACTGAATTATCGACCAATTACCACAACATCAGCGCTAGGCACCATTATGTAAACCATTATTAGGGAGAGCCTCGTAAAATTTACGGAAAATATTACCATAATAGCGGATAATCAACATACATTTGGCAACAGAAGATCCCGGGTAACGTGTGTACTACAATTTAACTACAATTTATAAAAACTGAGATCGCGAACACCCTCGGATGTGCTATATTGTACTTAGGGTTTCAAGTGAATTTGATAAGTACTACGCAAAGATTATCAAACCATCTTCGCCTTTTTTCCAGGCCTCTGAGGGTAGTATTGTGGTCTTCCAGGACTTGTGAGTCCTCCAGCCTGTCCTTTCACACGATTTAAGAAGCTCCTAATTTGAAGTGCTTTTATCCAACCATAGTCGTAGTGTTCAAACCTTGTTCAACTCATCTAACCTAGCGGGACCGATGATCATTTGCCAGAGGTAACGTCCCAGTTGAGGTGCATTATCTCCAGCAGTTAATCTCATTATAGACGACAGGTCTTCTCTTATGTGTTCCCATGTAGAATTATCATCACCATATGCATTGGGATCAGACGCATTTGATAAACGAAACAGGTGGCTGCAGGAGACTCCTTCACATAAGTTTTGGCTCAGTCATGGAAGCAAAACAGTAATGTAAACTAGTGTGTAAACTGTATGTGTGTTCCAGTAATTACTGGTGCCAGTACGCGCTCGAGACATACTTCAGCGCCGAGCATCTTATCACCAAACTTCTCGTGCAGGAATATCAAGAGTCCGGAGCAGGGATGTGTTCCCCCTCAAGCTCTGGTGTTCAGAAATTGAGTGGCAAAATTTTGTAGCGGGAGCGCTTACGCCACTGATAACAGACTGTAAGGTGTACTTTTTGCGGCTGTACTTTAGTGGCTGTAGGTCGGATAGGTGAAGTAGAGAGCTGGGAACCAGAGTGTCCAATGCTGGTTGTACTGGGATCAGAGGCAAACGAAGGACAATGGTTTAGAGGAAAACAATTTTTTTTTCTGGGCCGTAATTAAGGTCCTGGGCATTTTTGGAAACTTGATACGAGTAATCTATGGACTACTGGCTAGATATACTGAGTCCGTGAGTGTCGGGAAGGGCCGCTGTTTGTGCAGTCCTTGTGATAACGGGAGAGTCGTGGATATTATATGTGTACTGGAGAGCCTCTGCCAACTTTTTAACACCTTCGTGTAATAGCAGTGGAGCGATGAGAGGATTTTGCCTTTTCCTTGTGTCCTTGGTTGAGTGGCCGAGTATGAGGAACTGTGTGGCCATCCTGAGGTCAGTATACCTGTGATATACTGTCTCAAGGAAAGCAGTTTCCTCCCTTGACAGCTGTTGCTGGTGTTGGTACTAGTTTACATACGTTATAAAGGTCTTTAGGCGTCAGAAACTAGTAAACTAGAGAAAACATTCTCCGAATCTCCTTCCTATCCCACCGTCTCCACCTTTCTCCTCAACATCTTCCCTTCTCTCTCCCATCTCCTCGCCTTTTTCCCTCTCTCCTTCCCTCTCCTCCAACATCTCCCTTCTCCCTTTGGCCCCTCCGTCTCCCCTATATATATCTCTCTTTTCCTGTCACAGAAAAATATAATACTGAATTCACTTTTTTATAGGAAGTTACATCAGCATTTGTGCAGCTACACTTGACTATATGAAGGAGAGTACAGTGTGTCAAGAATTAGCTCCGTGATGGTAAACATTCCCATGACAGGATGGTTAGTCAACCAGAGGCATGTGATCTACTGGCAAACTCTGGGTGCATTGTGAGGATATCTTGTGAAGGTAACACAAGAGTGAACAAGCTACCAATGATATTAACAATTTCTCATCTCACAGGATGGTTAGTCATAGTGTGTACTCAGCAGGGGTTGAGGGACCTCCCAACTTGCCTAAGATCATGAGCAACTTGCCTAAGAACATGAGAAACTTGCCTAAGAACATGAACAACTTGCCTAAGAACATGAACAACTTGCCTAAGAACATAAGCAACTTGCCTAAGAACATGAGAAACTTGCCTAAGAACATGAACAACTTGCCTAAGAACATAAGCAACTTGCCTAAGAACATGAGAAACTTGCCTAAGAACATGAACAACTTGCCTAAGATCATGAGAAACTTGCCTAAGAACATGAACAACTTGCCTAAGATCATGAACAACTTGCCTAAGACCATGAACAACTTGCCTAAGATCATGAACAACTTGCCTAAGACCATGAACAACTTGCCTAAGAGCATGAACAACTTGCCTAAGAACATGAGAAACTTGCCTAAGAACATGAACAACTTGCCTAAGACCATGAACAACTTGCCTAAGACCATGAACAACTTGCCTAAGACCATGAACAACTTGCCTAAGAACATGAACAACTTGCCTAAGACCATGAACAACTTGCCTAAGACCATGAACAACTTGCCTAAGACCATGAACAACTTGCCTAAGAACATGAACAACTTGCCTAAGACCATGAACAACTTGCCTAAGACCATGAACAACTTGCCTGTAGGAAGAGGAGTACAGAGGTACCAACATGTTCATAAAGACGACGAATACAAACTTGGTGAAGTATTTACACCTTCAAGGGAACACTTGCAGTAACTCTCGCTCTAAGAGGGTCGTTCAGTGTCTTCCTTAACGAGGTAATAACCTAACTTGCGTAAAACTGGAAGTTTTGTATGATTGTGTAAATTACTCGAAATGTAAATAATTAATCTGTCACGCTGTACCACTAATCAAATCATACATAGTTTGTTAAAGTTTTAATTTTTGTAAATAGTTTAAGATGATATAATTTAAACAGCGAATTAATTGCAGCATCCCAGTGACCTGACCTTAGCAACTACAACATCCCAGTGACCTGACCTTAGCAACTACAGCATCCCAGTGACCTGACCTTAGCAACTACAACATCCCAGTGACCTGACCTTAGCAACTACAACATCCCAGTGACCTGACCTTAGCAACTACAACATCACAGTGACCTGACCTTAGCAACTACAACATCCCAGTGACCTGACCTTAGCAACTACAGCATCCCAGTGACCTGACCTTAGCAACTACAACATCCCAGTGACCTGACCTTAGCAACTACAACATCCCAGTGACCTGACCTTAGCAACTACAGCATCCCAGTGACCTGACCTTAGCAACTACAGCATCCCAGTGACCTGACCTTAGCAACTACAGCATCCCAGTGACCTGACCTTAGCAACTACAACATCCCAGTGACCTGACCTTAGCAACTACAACATCCCAGTGACCTGACCTTAGCAACTACAACATCCCAGTGACCTGACCTTAGCAACTACAACATCCCAGTGACCTGACCTTAGCAACTACAGCATCCCAATATATGTCCAAGCGAATGATTAAGTATCTTGACTTAAGTATCAAGTATTACTGGACGTAATTACGTAAGTATAAGTAAGTATTAAGTGAATGATTAAGTATCTTGACACTTGTAGCTTGTGACCGACTGTGGCTGTAATATTGCCAACTTTAGTATACTAGCAGCATGGGGCGTGATCGTGGCAAAGTTTAAGGTGATTATGGCAACTTCCTGTGTGGCCTTGGCAACGTAAGCATCAAGCGGAAGTCATAATGTGCGCAGTTCGTCAACAGACCGGAAGAGAATATTACAATAGAGACAAAAAAAGGAGCAGAGTCAGTCATCTCACTAAGTCAGCAAAACACACATCTCGCAGCAGTCACAGAAATGGGGTGATGCCGCCGGCGCTACAGTGGCCTGCAGGAGCTGGGGATCCTGGCCCCCGCCAGGGGCATCCTCCTGGCCAGGGGCATCCTCCTGGCCAGGGGCGTCCTCCTGGCCAGGGGCATCCTCCTGGCCAGGGGCTTCCTCCTGGCCAGGGGCATCCTCCTGGCCAGGGGCATCAAGCCCCTGGCCAGGGGCATCCTCCTGGCCAGGGGCATCCTCCTGGCCAGGGGCATCCTCCTGGCCAGGGGCATCCTCCTGGCCAGGGGCATCAAGCCCCTGGCCAGGGGCATCCTCCTGGCCAGGGACATCCTCCTGGCCAGGGGCATCCTCCTGGCCAGGGGCATCCTCCTGGCCAGGGGCATCCTCCTGACCAGGGGCATCCTCCTGGCCAGGGGCATCCTCCTGACCAGGGGCATCCTCCTGGCCAGGGGCATCCTCCTGACCAGGGGCATCCTCCTGGCCAGGGGCTTCCTCCTGACCAGGGGCATCCTCCTGGCCAGGGGCATCCTCCTGGCCCAGGGGCACTGACATCCTCCTAAGGACCTCGTTGCGTTGATCGCGGTAACATATGAAGACAGAATCCAAACACAGATGAATGTATTATTGACGAGTTTGTTGGAAGAGCGTAGGGAAATGCTCCTCTGCAGGGTATAGATGTATGGCGCGTGTATTGTATAGGTGTATGGCGTAACACCTCCCCCAACATTTACCTAAGGAGGACTCAACATGTGTTAAGTACGGCTGTATCCTGTAGCACCTTCCATTACAGGTCTTTGCATGCGTAAATCACACGTGTTATCCTGTGGATGACTGCACCACACTGTGCTAAACTCTTTGACGTGCATATAATTCATTATCAAAGTGATTGGCGAATTTAAGTGTAAAGTATGTGCCGAAATCGTAATAATTACGACGTGTTAGAGGCAACAAAAGTACGCGTTTTACCAGGTATTTACCATAATTATAGTCCGCTCAAGAGTGGCGGTAAGGCAGCCTTACCTGCCTGGGTCGCCAGTAGCCGACGCAGCAAGGGCTCACTTACCACTCAGAAAAAGCAGTAAATAGACTCTCGCGACGTTCTATAGGGTTTAATTTTCTGCTATAAAATAGCGAATAGGACGAGTAAAGAGGTAACATTTGCAAGTGCCCCTCGTAGAGTCCACTCACAGGCAGCATAATCTACACACAATTATAGAGTCTAAAATGAATTAAACTCTTTGTTTTGAGACATTGGTCGTAATTGGCTATTTTATGGGATCTTCATATTACCCTTTTTGGTGTAATTGGTCTTGAACTTTGTTTGTGTGAGATACAAATTTGATGCTAGCAAGATAGCCTTAAGAACGATGAACACACACATTTGGTCAGACGGATATCGAGATGAGTAGATAATAGCCTATAATGGCTAGATATCTTTGAGAAATAACAGGCTGCAAGATGACAGAAGGAAAGCTAAAGAGCCCTGAAAGGTAGCAGGAGGCTTGCTAGACAGCCCAGAGAGATGACAGGTGACGGATGGGTGGTGACGGGCGACCAGGAAGACGGCTGTGGGACGTCTAACAATACTGTCAAGAGTTGAGAAGTCTAGCAAGAACAGCACCAGTCACATAGCGCCGCGGGAGATGTGACTGCTGTTCTTACTTTACTTCTAACTTTATTTTTCTACTATAATCTAGAACATGAACGAAGGGAAGGGAAGTATCTGGAGATAGCGCCAAGCCAGTACGACTATACAGCACTGGGAAGGGGTCAGGATAAAGATTTGGGATGGGACGGGGAAAGGAATGTTCACAAAGCCTCTTTTTTTATATAAAATAGCCGTTCGATCTTGTCTCTCTATATATATTTATTTTACATCTGTATCATAGAGCTCTAGCAGACGTGTTGGTCTATGGTGAAGGCTTCCTTAGTGGTGATAAGTTTGGAGCTTTGGGTAATGACGTTAGTGTAGTTTTGATCAGACTACACACTAGAAGGTGAAGGGACGACCACGTTTCGGTCTGTCTTGGACCATTCTCAAGTCGATTAGGAATAGTCCAGGACGGACCGAAACGTCGTCGTCCCTTCACCGTTCTAGTGTGTGGTCTGGTCAACATACTTCAGCCACGTTATTGTGACTCCTCGTCTGCGTTAGTGTAGTCTCCTTCCGCTGTCACCATGCGGCGCTGTCTGTCACCATGCGACGCTCATATCATTCACGCCATTCTTCTGAAGCTTGTTAAAGTGGGCATTGTTCCTCCGCGGTAATGGTGAGGTTTTTAGAGCCTTACCTTGCTGAAGAGAGCCGTGACACCATCACAGGTGTGTTGCTCTGTAGCTCTGGCAGCTACAGAGCAAATGTTAGCTCCAAACACCTGTCTTATGAGTGCGCGAGTACATACACCAACCCGTTCTCGCACTTGCTTACCGTCAATATTGGCTTATTTAATAAGTGCATATGTGACATACTAATTGATTGTGAATATTTTAGTTTACCTTGAAAAGCTTCATAGAAAACACCGACCTCACCTAACCTTCTTAGTATGTTAAGATAAGCATCTTATTGCCTCTTATTTACAATTATTACTTAACCTATAAACGGTATAGGTTAAGTAATTGTAATTACGAAGCAATAAGATGCTTATATTAACATACTAAGAAGGTTAGGTGAGGTCGGTGTTTTCTATGAAGCTTTTCAAGGTAAACTAAAATATTCGCAATCAATTAGTATGTCACATATGCACTTATTAAATAAGCCAATATTGACTGTAAACAAGTGCAAGCAATCACACATGTGACTCTCCTACGTCTTCATTATTGTAATGTATACAACTGATGTATACAGTATAAGGTATACTTTTATATTCTCTTGCTGTATTAATACTTATATACTTAGACTCACCGATAAACAACTAATCAGTGAATTTATAGTAAATAACATTATTGTAAGTACAGAAAGTGTAAGGGGGCCTGACGGCTGAGTGGACAGAGATCGGAATTCGTAGTAGTAAGCGTCCGGGTTCTATTCCCTATGGAGGCGGAAACAAAGGGACAGAGTTTCTTTCACCCTGATGGACCTGTTCACCTAGCAGTAAATAGGTACCTGGGAGTTAGACAGCTGTTATGGATTGCTTCCTGGGGATGTGTGAAAAAAAACATAGTTGATTGATTGACAGTTGAGAGGCGGGCCCAAAGAGCCAGAGCTCAACCTCCGCAAGCACAACTGGGTGAGCACACACACACACACACACTAGGGGGCCTGGTAGCCTGGTGGATAGCGCGCAGGACTCGTAATTCTGTGGCGCGGGTTCGATTCCCGCATCAGGCAGAAACAAATGGGCAAAGTTTCTTTCACCCTGAATGCTCCTGTTACCTAGCAGTAAATAGGTATCTTGGAGTTAGTAAGCTGTCACGGGGCTGCTTCCTGGTGTGTGTGTGTGGAGAGAGAGAGAAAAAAAAGTAGTTAGTAAACAGTTGATTGACAGTTGAGAGGCGGGCCGAAAGAGCAAAGTTCAACCCCCGCAAACTCAACTAGGTGAATACACACACACACACACACACACACACACACACACACACACACACACACACACACACACACACACCGTACCTTGTCAAGCACAAGACGAAGCTGGAAAAAGTCCAAAGGTATGCCACTAGACTAGTCCCAGAACTAAGAGGCATGAGTTACGAGGAAAGGCTGCGGGAAATGCACCTTACGACCCTGGAAGACAGTAGTGTAAGGGGAGACATGATCACAACCTACAAAATCCTCAGAGGAATCGACCGGGTAAACAAGGATAAGCTATTCAACACTGGTGGGACGCGAACAAGGGGACACAGGTGGAAACTGAGTACCCACATGAGCCACAGAGACGTTAGAAGGAACTTTTTCAGTGTCAGAGTAGTTAACGGATGGAATGCACTAGGCAGTGATGTGGTGGAGGCTGACTCCATACACAGTTTTAAATGTAGATATGATAGAGCCCAGTAGGCTCAGGAATCTGTACACCAGTTGATTGACAGTTGAGAGGCGGGACCAAAGAGCCAAAGCTCAACCCCCGCAAGCACAAATAGGTGAGTACACACACACACACACACACACACACACACACACACACACACACACACACACACACACACACACACACACACACACACACACACACACACGCACACGCACACAAACGCGTGCACACAGTCGGGCTCGAGTTGCTGTGAGGGATTTATCATTGTGGTAAGAAATGATGGACAAAAACTGTGAGGAAGGAGCGTGGCGGCGTTCCTGGCATAGTTCCCGCCCTCGTATTGCTGCCGCTGACACAACCCCTAATTAATCGATTTTATTCCCATCTCCCACAAGTATTCAACTTTTGCCCTACCTTTTTTGCCCCATATGTAAGGGAACATCTGAATTTTCCCCGTCCACCGTATGTATGACACACCGGGCGTGGGTGTGAGAGTGGGCGTGGGTGTGAGAGTGGGCGTGGGTGTGAGAGTGGGCGTGGGTGTGACAGTGGGCGTGGGTGTGACAGTGGGCGTGGGTGTGAGAGCGGGCGTGGGTGTGAGAGCGGGCGTGGGTGTGAGAGCGGGCGTGGGTGTGAGAGTGGGCGTGGGTGTGAGAGCGGGCGTGGGTGTGAGAGCGGGCGTGGGTGTGAGAGCGGGCGTGGGTGTGAGAGTGGGCGTGGGTGTGAGAGCGGGCGTGGGCGTCAGTGGAACCTGGTTTCAGGATGTTGGTCGTGAAGGGTTGCATAGTTAACGTTGTCACTATGAGACGGGACAGGAAGCCCGCGCCTGCTGGCTAGCTCCACAGCACTAGAAGTATTGGTCTGTGTTAGCGGGAGAAGTAACTAATTTTATCACTGGCTGAAATATATACTTTATCGGAATTTCGGGACCAAATTAAGCTTCAACTAATGATTAGTTTGGAGCGCTTATGTGCTTTATTAGGCCCTGATACGGTTGTGCATTCTCAGTTGTCGCGAGTCAACCAAGAGGTGAAGTTGCATGTGTGGGGAACCACGCAGGCGCTGGTGTTGCAAGGTGCACATGCACCCTCATTATATATACTTATGGTCAGTATAAGTGTACTTATACATTCTTACGCATGATACTTAAACAACAGACTCCTCTGGACTTATCACAAGTAGCAAGAGAGATCTAAAGAATCGCTTGTCCCAGCTGTGTCTGGGTACAAGTGACAGGATGAACAACCCAGCGGGTTTTCTTCCTATTGGGGAGTGTTGTACATGCTGCTATGGCGGTGTGTCCACTCACAGGATGAGTGGCGCTGCCCAATACTGTCACTATGGCGGTGTGTCCACTCACAAGATAAGTGACGCTGCCCAATACTGTCACTATGGCAGTGTGTCCACTCACAAGATAAGTGGCGCTGCCCAATACTGTCACTATGGCGGTGTGTCCACTCACAAGATAAATGACGCTGCCCAATACTGTCACTATGGCGGTGTGTCCACTCACAGGATGAGTGGCGCTGCCCAATACTGTCACTATGGCGGTGTGTCCACTCACAAGATGAGTGGCGCTGCCCAATAATCTCGCCCCTCGGGGCAAAATTTAAATTTAAAATCCCTCTAATAACTCGGTACTTTCCCCCTGATAGTTCCCTTCCCTTCGTGGCTAGACTCCGGCCTGCGAGTCTCGTCCATCGGGAGACTTCTTCAAATCTTGACCTTCGCGAGACTCACCAGGGCTGAGGCTCTGAGTACCGCTGTAGCGAGGCTGAGTATCAATAGAGGCCATGACTTGACATGAGTAGAGCACAGTAGGATCTTAGTGAGGAATGTGCAAGGTAAGCTAACGTAATTATCAGGAGAAAGTGCTAAGCCAGTATAACTACGAGAATATGGAAGGGATATAAGGATTAAGATCTGGGAAAGGACGGAGGGAAGGTATGTTGAATAACTACTTGGACTCACACACAGAGATCACACTAACGTGATGCATTGTTAACTACTTGTTAACATTGTTAACATTGTTAACTATGGATTTGTTAACTACTTGGACCGTCGGGAATTGAAGCGGACCTGCAACAAGCAAGATCATCGCTGTGTAAGTGATGGGCCAGAATGTGCAAGATTGAGGAACGTGGTTTCTGATGTTACATGTTTTTGTTATTAAGCTGACAGACTGTTAGCCTATGAGCCCTATGTTGGTGGTTGTATGGTTCATATTGGCGGTGTTGTAGTTGATCTTAAAACATTGAACTGCACGGTCCTACCTCCTGCTGAAGGTCATTCACAATAATCAGTAGCAGAAGTGGTCCAAGTACAGAGTCTTGCAGGAGCCCGCTATCACTTCCCACCTTCATATCTCCTCTCTAAATAAACGTCGAGTCCTATTTACATTATAAACCCAGCTAACATTTCCAGCTTGTGTATCAGTCTCTTGTGGAGGGGCAGTGTTGATGGCTTTTTGGTAGTCTAAGAAGATGCAGGTCACCATCCATCTCTCCCGCCCAATGTTGCCAGTCTGGGTCAATGCGATCAGGCTCCGAAGACATATTTTTCTCTCTAAAACTATGCTCTCTCCCGGATACAAAATTGACCATCTTCAGATATTACACTATCTTCTTTCTAATTACTTTCTCAAGTATCCTGTAATGTGTACAAGTGACACAGGTCTGCATTTTAAAGCCTTATATCCGTCTCATTTCTTGAATATGGCAACAACGTTTGTAGGCGTCTAAGTTTCCCCATTTGCTTATGACGCATAGTAATTAACATAGTATGTGAACCTCTGGCTATTAACATAGAGGTTCACATAGTATCACTGCTGCCTCTTTCAGTAGTCCCAGGAAATTCTAGTCAGGTCCTATTGTGTGGATTTACTATATTTAGTATTGTTACTGTTTGTGTCTGCGGGACTGAGCAGCTAACTTGGACCCCGACTTTCTAACCTTAGGTTCTCTAATGTACTGACTCCCGACCTATTCTCTCTCTCTCCCCCCTCCCTCCTTCTACTGTGTGTGTGTGTGTGTGTGTGTGTGTGTGACCATCTCTGCAATGTGTGTGTGTGTGTGTCTGTGTGTGTGTGTGTGTGTGTGTGTGTGTGTGTGTGTGTGTGTGTGTGTGTGTGTGTGTGTGTGTGTGTGTGTGTGTGTGTGTGTGTGTGTGTGTGTGTGTGTGTGTGTGTGTGTGTGTGTGTGTGTGTGTCTGTGTGTGTGTGTGTGTGTGAACTGCACAGATGAACTGCAGACTACAGCAACAACAGCTCACAGAATGAGAGCGAAACTGCTGCTCATGGGGAACCTAGATCACGGGCGGATCGATTTGGAATTAAGGAATCCCCATGTTGGGGAAGAAACGTGGGGAGCAAAATTAATGGAAGTTGTAGACAGGAATTTCCTAACCCAACATGTGAAGGACAAGGGGAAAAAGAAGGGGATACACCGAGCCTATTAGACCTCATTTTCATCCAGAACGAGGAAGACATCGAAAATTTGGAACATGAAATACCATTAGGAGCCAGTGACCATTGTGTCCTAGCCTTTGACTACATGATGGAACTTAAAATTGTGACCACGAGATAATTCTGGGAAAGGAAAGTTGACTATAGGAAATGGGATTACAGGAGGATAAGGGAATATCAGGGAGAAGTGGAGTGGGTGGAACAACCTATAGGAAAAACAGTACAAGACATGATGGACCAAGTCATATGGAAATGCAAGGAGGCCGAAGAGTTTCATAGCAACAGTTAGGGGAAAAAAGGTAGACGGGAATATAATAACCCAGGGTTTAATAGACAGTGGCAGGAAGCAAAAATGAAAAGCAAGAGGACGTGGAGGAAGTAAAGAGGACAAAGGATAGAGCACAACAGGAATAGATGCAACAGAGCCAGGAACGAATATATATATATATAAGAAGCACTGGCACCAAACTTCATACAAATCTTTGTAATTTTCAGTTTTGGTTATGTGCTTCACAAGGTGTGGATTCCATGCCGGTGCTGCGTATTGCAATACTAGACTAACAAATACTGTGTATATTGCCTCAAACAAGTCCATATTTAGGCAGGCGATGAGTCACAATAACGTGGCTGAAGTATGATGACCAGACCACACACTAGAAGGTGAAGGGACGATGACGTTTCGGTCCGTCCTGGACCATTCTCAAGTCGGTCTCCTTATTTAGGTTTCTACACGACGTTCTAATGTCTGCCAGCGTCCCATATGTTGTTACCAAGCTTAGCGGGCCTCCAGGGTGAGTGTTGAAATTATTTCCATTCCCAGATTTGTCTCCCTCTCCGAATCCTCTAGTTTCCTCCCACTTGGGGTGTAGATGTCACCTGCTCTCCTTTCTTATTTTTCCATCTTCGTTACCTAAACTTGTTGCGATTGAATTCCAGCAATCACTAGTTGCCTTCTATAGGAATTTGTCAAGGTCGTCTTGTGATTATCAGCAGTCGTCCTCTGACTTCACATTCCTCATTAGCTTTGCGCCATCCACGAACGTTGACATGTACAAGTTCGCTCCCACGGGTAGGTCGTTCACAAATAAATTAGAAACAGCAGCGGCGCCAGAAGTGAGCCTTGAGGGACTCCACTTGTTACAATCCTCCAGGTCACTGGAGGACCACCTCTCTGACTGTGACTTTACTTGCTGTCCTTCAGGTGCTCCCGTATCCTGTTCAGTGTTTTCCCAGTTATACAAGCCTCCTTCTCCATCCTGTACCTCAACCTTTCATGAGGAACACTGTCAGAGACTGTTTGGCAATCTAAGAAAATACAGTCTACCCAGATATCTTTTTCTTGTCTTATTTTAGTAACTCGGTCAAATTTGCCAGGTACGATTTTTCCTTTCTAGATCAATGCTGCCATTTTATTACCAACTTTCGTCCTTTCCAAATGCTCCTTCACTTTCAGCCCGATTACTTTCTGCAGCACTTTACACGGAATACTTGTCAGTGACTTGGTCTAATTTAGTGCGTCCTGTCTGCCCCCTTATTTTAATATTAGGATTTCATTTACTTTTTTTCTCCATAATTCTGGGAGATTTCCAGTCTTCGGGGCTTTATTGAGCATGATAGATGGGGAGTGACAAAGTACTTCTGCATCCTCCTTCAGCAGCCATGGTGAGAATTAAACCCAACGATTTTGCTACATCCAGTTGTTTTAAGTGATTTTTTTTACCTCTTCAGTGACTATAGTGTCGTCCATTGTTTCTTCTGGCCTTTCATCTCACAGTCTTGGTTTCCACGTTTGTTCTATTGTAAATAATACATTTGATATCATGAAGCGTAAGGAAGCTAATTGTTTGCGTGTGCAGTGTAGGGAAGGTGATACATCACAGGTGCAGTGTTGGGAAGGTGATACATCACACGTGCAGTGTTGGGAAGGTGATACATCACAGGTGCAGTGTTGGGAAGGTGATACATCACAGGTGTAGTGTTAGGAAGGTGAGGCATCACAGGTGCAGTGTTAGGAAGGTGATACATCAGAGGTGCAGTGTTGGGAAGGTGATACATCACAGGTGCAGTGTTAGGAAGGTGATACATCACAGGTGCAGTGTTAGGAAGGTGATACATCACAGGTGCAGTGTTAGGAAGGCGATACATCACAGGTGCAGTGTTGGGAAGGTGATACATCACAGGTGCAGTGTTAGGAAGGTGATACATCACAGGTGCAGTGTTGGGAAGGCGATACATCACAGGTGCAGTGTTGGGAAGGCGATACATCACAGGTGCAGTGTTGGGAAGGTGATACATCACAGGTGCAGTGTTAGGAAGGTGATG